AACAGGTGATAATAAGCTGATGACATGAGGTTACCGCTAAAAGTGCTTTCAGTACAAATCAAAGCACATAGTTCCACAAGGAAGTGGAACAGTTTTTAATCAACATTCACAATACATTAATACCGAAGCAATGAGAAAAGCTTTCCCTTAAGAATCCTGCCTTGAGATTCTAAACATGTGTTCTGAATGCGATGACGTTACTCTGCAGTCACATTGCAAAAATGGCCATATGCATTCATATAATGAAAATGAGGCATTAGATCGATATTGGGGCTTAGGATCGACAGCTTCTCTGCCGACATAAGATCAACACAGCAGTTCAAAAACTCGGTTTTAATTCCTACGCAGGCACACTAAAAAATTGATAAATTTAATCAAATTCTTAGCTTCTTGGTTATGCGCCGCTGCTAAACTATAAACCTTGCCATGCAATGAAAATGTCGACTGAATGCCGGCGTCGATCGCATGTCGTGTCGATAATATATTGGTGGGTATTGGAGAAATCGAACAACAAGAATCAACGTTATATTGTAAAAATGCTGATTCTTGTTATTTGACGTCTCCAACAATCATTATTTGACGTGTTACTTTAGCCTAAATATTGGTGAGTTCTAAAACTGCCTTGGCGATAGAGGTACATTTGGCTGAAAACAAATGGTTACTGTTCTGCGCCTTGTACGAGAGACTAAAGGTTAACGATTTAATTCATTTTTCGCGCTTGTTTTGAGTTAATATAGAAGCTTTTTATCATAAAACAGTCACTATGCTTACTATGTTCAATTTTCCATCAATGGAAAAAAGAAGCTATAACATACGTTTGATGCATTATTAGCAACAACAGTCAATTTTGCGGCAAATGAGGATTTTTAAAACTCCGTGGTAAGCTCTCACATGTGATATATACCATATTTATTTACTTGTATGATTTTCCTTCTAGTTATTTTTCAAAACATGACATCGACACTTCTGATTTATGGTAACAGTATAAAATATATTCTGAAACAGGAAAGTATTTTTTGTAAGTGAAAAGAATATTATTGAAATTGAGAAGTTCTTTGAAGTACCTAATGTAATAATATTAGTGTGCATTTTAATGTGCTATATTTATCACTTAAACCATCTCTTTAGAAATAGTACACACCGCATATTTTTTCCCTTCATGGTTTTACAAGTAGTAAAATTATTATCAAAAAAAGGGGGAAAATATCGGAGTACGGCATATATATATATATATATTACCAATTAAGCGTTATAAGCGATATACAACATTATCGTCTGAAAAGCAAACATTTGACAACGTAATATTTAGGTCAATAAGCAAGCGTTCATTCGCTGTAAGAGTTATAAAAATAAGTTATACTTCGCAAAATGATTCAGTGCAAAAATGAGAATAAGTTATAAGCTCTACAGAAGTTACAAGCAATGTATTATTTGTTATTATTCGAAAAGACAGCATTCGACACCATGACACTATCTATGTGTGATAAACGTTACAAAAATAAATTATAATCAATAAGCATCATTGATAGAATTTAAATATTTACAGAAATTTACAACAATATCGATTTTGTGCGTGTATTAAATTATGGCAAAGCACACGAGGGCTATCTGCCTAAGGGGAGGGATGCCTTCGTGGAGGACTTTCTAAGGAAAACTGACTCGTATACACGTTACACATGGGGAAACCCACGAAAACATGCAGCCAGCCCCGTTCGCGGGATTCGAACCTCGGACCGAACTACCAGTGTTAAGCGACTTTACCGCTCGGCCGCTGGTGGGCCAATATCGATTTTATTAGCTGTTTTATAGCAAAGGAATGGCCAACTTCTGAGTGCATTTACTATATGATCGACTTTTGGTTTGAAAAGTGACCCCGAAAACAAAAGTAAAAGTCGACGTTAATAATTCTCTAAATAACAACCTCTCTAAGTAAAGAATTACAGTTAATATTTTCAGTTAGCCATATAACTAACGTAAATAGTTCAGAGCGAGTAAAGTTATTTCCGGTGGTTCTTTTTAACAAACCTGACAAGTGTTTATATCGCTTTCGGTAGATGGCAGCACCATGACTGAATATCTCCGAGAGGATAGCGCCGGAGCTGTCGGAGTTAGGACGTTAATGCAGTACGAGTTCCCAGAAAGTCTTAAACGAAATAAATATGATATTTTATTAAAGTTAATTGCTTATGCAAACCAAACTAAATCAATATCGCCTAATCCTGATTTTTAGACGCTTACCCAAATGATTGCTTAATATTTTTCTGCAGTTCTGCTTAATGCTATCTTTGTAAACCATTATGAAATACAGCTAACATTAGATCAGTGGTCCTCAACCAGAGAAAATTCCCCTCTTAGTTTCAGGCGGGAGAATACGGCCAGCGTGTTATTTACCTTTTAGATATTTAGTTATAGTTTATGAATATAAAAAACTACTTTCATTCAAGTTTCAGAATTTATCAATATTTTCTATACTTGCTTAATTTATAAATCGCATTAAAAATAATCTAAATTTAATTAAATATTTATGCATTTTTAGAGTTTTAGAAAGGAAGGGATGTGATCGTCTAGCAGTGGTGAAAAGGGTGCATAAGGCAAAAAAGTTTGAGAACCGCTTCATTAAAAAATACATATTCTGTATTTTGCTTGACAACTTTATAATTTACATTTTACAGTTTACTAAATTCGTATTTCCCATTTTGGGCAGTTGAAGGTCATAGTAGTTAAAGAAGTAAAATAACAGCATTAGTTCTTTACTTTGTGTAACCGTATGTACTTTTGTAATCATATCATAATTATAAATTAACCATATTCCACTAAACGAACACTAGCTAATATGTTACCCATAACGTTAGTGATTTAAACAAAATAGTTAAATCTTTCTGCTGAAGAGAATGTAGTTAAATAATAATAATAATAAAACGTTCAAAAAGGAATTTTTCTTAATGCGAATGATATGTATCAAATGGATATCATTCAAATCCATTATAATTTGTTTCAATTTTAATTGGAAGCAACAGCAATTTTTTAAAAACTTAATTACATATAAATAAAACTTTAAAAAATTTAGATTAAAAGTTTCCTAGAAAGTTAAATAATAACGGATTTTTTTTTATATTTTAAATTAGTATTAATGAAAAGGTTAAAAAGTTAATTTAAAATCTGAAATAAATAAATTTGAACATTTCATAGCTTCGAATTTTATGTTGCTAAAAGGACAAAAATACTAATTTCCTTAAATTTTCCAAAAGCTTAAGGGAATTTTTAGAATCTTTCATGTTATAAAATTATACTGGAAGCCTCTGAAGGTGAAAAAATGTTTCTGAAAAATTTCTAAGAAAATCCTTTCCACTGAAGACGAAAATCGTCTGTAATCATGGGTTGTTGTCTTAAGAAGATCACTATATTAGTTTAATGAAGTTTACAAACTAAATTTTTAAAAATGCCTTAGAATCTACTATGTATAAATATTCACTACCTCATAATTATTTTTTTTTTTCTTTTAAATAAGTTAGAAATGAAAAGAAAATAAAAATAAAGTATGTCATTCTATATGTTAGCAGATCATTGCCATAAAAACATTAATAAGGAAATGTCAAATAAAAATTTCTTTTCCTGTTTTTAACTACCTATACAAATCAGTTTAAATCCTTAATGATTTTCCATTGCAGTATGTTTTATCTAAAATCTTTTACTTAAATTCGATATTATTTTAGGCAGTTCTTAGAATACTAAAAAATGTAGATCACCTTTAATCTATTACTTATTTACTCGGTTAATTTTTATCTTCCTATGTTCTAGTCGCAGATAAACAAATAAAGAAGTATAAAGAAATTCGAAGAGGGGGGGAATGGTTTCTTCGATATAAAGTTCCAGAAAATATGTACTAATATATTCGAATAGAAAATACTTCTCTTTTCTCCTCTTTTAAAGCTTTTTTGAAGGCAGAAATATTTAACTGCTTAATTTAGATGTCACAAAGGAATAAAGAATTTTTCAGCAAATGCATATTTTACGCAACTTCTGAAGGAGCTCTTCATTGGACAATCTCAATTTGCGACTATTCCCTGGTACCGCCCTGACAACAAAAGCTGACATAAATCAAACGTGATTGGCAGCCATGACAGCCGCGTGATGGATGGCGATGTAAACCCTGACGGCTGGCGGCTTGCCAAGTCATTAGTCGACGCCCCCATTCTATTGGCCGCCCTTCAAATTAATGACCAACACGTCACGACCCAATCGCCGACCCGGTAGCGCTCACTGAAGCCCTCCCATTGGCGGATGACAGCCGGCATAGTATATTTAGAAGTGCTCTCTCAACAGGAAGTTACAACATTTATCAAATATCGCTTTTTTGGCGATAAAAATTTGTCATCAGAACATTTGTTCATACTTTTACTGCAAATCATCGGCCGTTCGAAAATTTAATTGTTTTGCTGGCGAATAATTAATGACTTTTTGGCTTGCACTCAATAGTGCTAATTAGTATTGTTTAACAAAATGTTTTATAACTATTCTTTTTAGTGCGCTATATCGACCTTGAATGAATGCGGTGCAAACTCAAGACGCACTGTAAACTAGTATACTCAATGTAAACGAATACATTTCACGATATTATGTTAAATAATATAATATGCTTCTTTATCAGGTTTGTTTGCTTGTATTTAATAAAGAATCCATTGAATACCATATTTCAAGTTTAATTTGCACTAAATTAAATCAAAGCTAAATGAACTTATAATGAGCTTGCTTGTAGTATTGCTATGAGAAATTCTGAATCGTGCTAGATTTCTTATTTTTTGTAACGGATTCTTGTAACGGAATGCAGAAATGATAGAAAGAATAGTTTCTCCGTTGTAGAGAAATCGTTGGCGGAACTTCACTCAATGGCGTTAAAAAAGTCGACTTCAGTTAACATTTACTCCGGTTGAGCTACTTGGCGAGAAAAAGGGCTTCGTAAGCATTGCAACCCTAGCTCCGCGGTCTGTTCGCAACTGAAGTCTACGGGCAGCATGCAGAAAGACTGAGAGTTTTCGAAAAGCTGACGTGGATATTTTCGGCTTTTCGACTTTATGAGTTTTTTGAAAAAAGCGTGATGCGGGTGATGCACTCATGAAGACACCAGATTTTAATAAGTGCATGATACTTCTGAATCTAGCTTGGTGATATCTGAACTTTATAAAAACTGACATTTATCGTAACTCTTTCAACGATCATGTTGACATCTGGGAATCAGTATCTGCGACCAGAATATTTATCGCCGTTGCCAACAACGGTAAGTCAATTATTATTATTTTAGTTTGATGTTTTTATGGGATTTTAGTAAGCGCTTTTTGAAAATATGTTTGTTCTCTAATAATATTATTTTGATGCCGCTTTATTTGTTTATTTATTTATTGTTATGTTTATTATATTTCTTTATTACTTTTGCTTAAATTGCATTAGTTATCGTATTAGATGCTGCAAATTCTACAAATCTATTTTACCACATATGTTTGGGACAGTAAGAATTTCACGTTCATATAAAAACTTAATTTGATCAATGTACATGCGGTTGTGATCACTAACGTTTAATCTTACATGCAATTATGATAATTTTTATTTGATCTTACATGCGATTATAATTTTTTGTATTTAATCTTACGTGAAACAAAATATTTTCAGTCAAATTTGAATATTCTCAGTTTAATTATTTACTTTTTGACGAAAAAATTGTATTAGTAATGTAAAATATATCACGATTAGGACTGATTATGTTACTTTATAGTGTGAAAATTATGCTCTTGCAAAAATGACAGCTTTGATATAAAATTTGGAAAAACGTATTCCACATTGTTAAGCATTTGTATATATCTTCTCTTATATTTTGCATCTTTGATGTATTTACTTACAGGCGTAATCAATATTAAGTGCCGATTATTTGAGTTTAGATACATATGTTAAATTCCAGTAATTTGAATAAAACGGAAAACAATTTTTTCCATTCTTTCTCTTGTTCAGTTGCCTGCTATGGTTTTTAATTTGGTATATTAAGCATAGTTGTTTAATAATTTAACATTTTCTGATTGTTTTTCCACGTGTTTAACATTAAAAAATGATAAACTAGTATATTACGTTTTATTTTATTCTTAATTTCCTTAAAAAATAATTAATTTGTAAATAAAATTTAGCAACCTCCTTTTTCCAAAGAAATGCTTTTTTTACTGCTACAGCTTTTGAATCAGATGATAAATGAGAAAAATTACATGTGAAAATTGTATGCATAATTACGTTATATGGTTCATAAGTGGTCAGTTGTATTCTGTGAGGAACTTCTTTATTTGGTATATTATTTGTAATTCTTCAAAAATTCAAAAGCAGATAGTTTCAAAATATTGTGCTGAATTAAAATATGTTCAATTTGTAAATTTCTATGATGTAAAAAAATTGTTTCTGTTCTTTTACAGAAAGTCTTTACTGACATTTTTTTGATTATATGAAATCATGAGGAAGGGTGGAACACAGTATTTTTTGGCGAATACTATTTCATTTTAAAGCTGTTTCAAACATGCACTGTTATTGATAATTTTTGGTAATCATTTTAAATAATTCCCTGAATTATACTTCTACTTCCGAAAATTGATGCTAAAAATGAAAGATCTGTCAGAAAGTCGATTTTGTAATGTATGCGAAGTTTATATGCGTAGATTTCCGTAAATTTTTTTGAGATTCGGTGTTCATGCATTTCAGTTCTATAGTGCCGTATAATAATAGCTTAATATTTGGAGAAGTTTTTTCAGTCGTATTTCAGGGCACAAGTCCTGTCCGAGAAAACCAGACGTCCGCTTTCGGATACTCAGCGCACTTTAACGGCGTAAGATCTGTCATTAATACAACTTTTCAGAATAACACGAACTTAAAAATAACATATTTCTAAGGAATATTTCATATTTTTTCTGTGGCAACATGATTATTCGTAAATTACTTAGTTTTTTTTCTGCAGCTTTTACGCAGCGACTGTATTATTTATAAACAGAATATTGATTCTTGAAAATATTTTTCCAAAATCATATATTGAATACCTTTACCATCTGCAGTAAAACCACCTGCAGTTGATAACATTCTGAAGTATAATATAGGTATCAATCATTTATATGTTTCCTTCCCACTTTTTTATTAATCATTAATTTTTTAATTAAAGTTTGTTTTATTAGATGGCAACAGTCAATAATTGGTTAATTTAAAAAGCGAAGTGAAACGTTTATATTACTTCAACCAACACCATTACTCTAATTATCTGACAAGGAAGAGAGGATTTCAGTTCATCTCATATTTTCTTGGATGTGATTTTGAATATCTGGATGCTATCTGCGATTTAAATCGTTGAGATCAAAGCCGCAAAATGGAAGCTGCCAGCATGTATATGATTTGCTGCTGACTTGTTGCTGCAGTGTATAAGTGTAAGAATGTTTAGATTGCAGAAGCTCGCGAATTAATATTTTATTTACGTCTTCTAATGACTGAATAGATAAGACCACTGACCGCCGGTAGTTCAGCCTGGATTACCCTCTCAGCGAACGGCTGGCATTCACGGCAAATAAATACGAATTGTTTTCCCTTAAAATATGCTACTTAAGACAGATTGTGCATGTTACTGTAATCAATTAACCCAACAACTATATATTAGATAGCATCTTTTTAAGGGGGAGAAATGATTTGTTTTTGTGCGTGGATTCGTTTTTATTAGACCACAAGGCATTCTATTCATATTAAGTCAAATATTAAGCAGCAGTCTTAAGGTTGGGTTAGATTATTTGAATAAGGTAAAGCACACGAGAACTATCTGCCTAAGGTGAGGGATGCCTTCCTAAATAATTTACGGTAAAAGTTTACAGTCGAGTGCCGCTTATTTTTTGGCAGTTCTGACTTCAAGATGGCCGCTATGCAAAACCAAAATAAGAAGTCAAAGAATTGCAGAAACTCGGTGTCCATGTACTCATCGATCTATTTTCACTTAAAAAAAAACATCATAGAATTGCAAAAACTAGGCATTGCGCACTGCCTTTACTTTGTCCATGTACACATTAACTATTGTTACTTAAAAAAATTAGGAAGCTAAAACAAAGGTAAAACTATCATGGAAACCAGAAATGAGGGGTTTCAGTGCCAAAATAAAACAAAATTTGTCACTAATCGAACGGGCAGCCAGTTTTACTCTAGATTCGGATTTACTTAGGGAAACTGGCTCGCATTTACGTTACACATGGGGAAAAACACGAAACCCATCTATGAAGCCAGCCCGTTCATCGATTGGCTGTTCACCCCACTTGGGGTCGAACTCCCAGTATTCAGCGGTCTTAACCACTCGGCCTTTAGTGGGGTATGAAATCTTCAGGATGCTGATTGATTGCATTGCGATACGTAAATGATCGTGAGGTCAAATTTGATTACATTATATGTGACAAATGCCTTAAATGTACAAAATGGCCGCTAGACTTTTTGCCGCTGTGAACTATTCCTGCGGATCTAAAATTGCACCAGTTCTGGTGGCGACCTTGGGATGACAAAGAAGTGGATTATCCGGTCGTCATCTCAAAAGAAGTATCAGTGGAAACAGCGTAGCTTAAAGTAATTCTCATACGAAATTGCGGGGATTTGAAAAACAAGTAATAAGTCCTTAATGGAAATAATTATCGTGTTTACTCGTGTAATAGTCGCGTCTCTGTTTTGAAGCAGAAAAAAATCGTCAAAAGTGTACAATATTGGTATAATATTGTTTAGTATAGACTAGAAGAGAAACACGCTAATGTGACAATCAAAATCGTAAAAACAACCCTGTATTTAGCGTAAGTATAATGTTAATGTCATTATACTTACGCTAAATACAAGGTTGTTTTTAGGATTTTGATTGTTTAGCATATTTTCTCGAGTCGCACGTAGACTTTCACAATGAAAAATTGGCAAAAGAAGTGCGACTATTATTATGCGAGTAAACACGGTAGTATATTATCAAATAACTATGATTTATTTATGAATTAAATGGGATTAGAAAAACTGCTTTTAAATATCTTTAAAGTTTAAACCAATGGTGGTCTTAATTTCTACACAAATGGATAAAATGCGATTAAAATGTCTTCCTGCATTGTACAGTTTTATTTACCCATTTCTTATCGGAAATTCAATTTTGTATACCTTTTTCAACGTGAACTATTCTTTCACATCCTTATTGCACGAACTTATTGTCCAGTTGTTTGGATACGGCGAACCGCGCGAAAGTTAAATCTCTAATGGAGGGATACCTCGTGAACGACTTTCAAACAGAAACTGTCTAGTATTCATGTTACTCATGGAGAAACCACCTGTGCAGCCATTTCGATCCCCAGTCCTAAGCATAATCTAATTAACAATAGATTCCGCATGAAATTTCAAGCAGTGAGAAACATTGTTATAAACAGAAAGCAGCATTTACAATTTTTCCCGAAATTTCCCTGCCTTTTCCCTTTCGTAATAGTCAAAAACTTATTTTGTTAAATAATAATTGGATAAAAATTATGCAATCATTTTACTTGTCATCTAAAGCAGGGTTTCTTAAATTTTTTCAGTCGCGACCCCTTTTTATCACTGAGATTTATTTTCGCGACCCCCAGGACCCCAATAATAATTACAAAAATTTTGTGGGACCCCATAAGTATTGCGCAAATCCGACACACGCGTGAGAGAAACTGTTAATTTTTTCACTTGTACTGTAATATACTATTGTCATTAATTTCTAATTTTAAGACTTAGAACAATCTGAAAATTTTAAATAAGTAACAGACGGAAATAACAGCGTCACGTGCAAAGCGAGGAAATAAACGTTTTATAGTATGAAAAGAATGCGTTGAAACGTTTTCGTTTTTTTCTTTGTCTGTATTGTCTTATCGTTATCTATTTTCAGATACATTGTGTAAAAATATTTGGTAACTGTAAAATTATAAGTTAAAGAAATATCAAAACTGCTCAAATTTTTGGCGACCCCCTGCTGCAGATAATATAACGATAAAAAGTCCCGTTTATTATAAGTTACTTGTGTTAGATCCTTCTCGAAATTTATTCCTTATAGTCAACTCCAAGCTGAAACTAAATTCAGCCTATATCAGATTCTGCCTTTGATGCAGAATACAGTAATTCCTATGCTATTTTGCAGTTCTTATATTTCGTAAATTTTTAATTCGCTGTAAAATAATAGACTTGAAATTTTACATGTTTCATATACTTCATGGAACTTAAATTATGTAGTTCCTATTTTTACACCAG